TCCTGTTTAGCGACTCTGGAGCTCAAAACGCGTCTTGAGTTTTGGCCACTCCACCGGTCTTCTGGCCCACTGTGCGCCGCGGCGCCGCCTTCGCATTGGGCGGCGCTGCAGTGTCCCCGCGCGGAGTGATTGTGATTCGTCAGGCCCGCGTCGTAACGATGCAACGATGTTTGGCGGCGCGGCTTCTTGCGCCGTTCCGCCGCGCTCCGCCGCGCTCCGCCGCTCCCCGGGATTGTCTCAATGCTCTTTTTCATCCACTCGCCTGTCACTGTCGGTCGAACCGCGACAGAGTATCCCAGTATCGCATTTTGGGAATTTCCTCATCGTCCTTGCCCCGCCGCCCAGTGTCTGGCTGTGTGCTCCGTGATTTGCGTCCCGCTGGCCCGCCGGCCGTCTCTTTGACTGAGCGAATTAATTATTGCCAACGGCCGAGCCCGTAATTGAAATTGATGGATATGACGGCTTTTAATTTGCGCGACGGCCGCGAGCCTTCAGCGCTTGGCTGTGGCTGTGTGTCCGCGCGTCCGCGTCCCCCGAGGGCGGTGCGGCCCCCAGCGCCCCGAGCGCCCTCGCCAGACGGCCAGGCCCAGCGTCGCGTTGCCTGTTGGCGCGAGCGCGGCAGCAGCGCGCCTCGCCTCGCGTCGCGTCGGGCTGCCTCACTGCCTGGCGACGTCAGGGTTGACATATCGCACGATCCGGGGCGCGAGCGGCGCGAGCACACATGGTGCACTCCTTCGATAATGGACGCACTTGCTAATGTGTGTGTGTGTGTTGTTTGTTGACGTAGTCGCGTTCGTCGCTGCGACACGTTCAAGATTGTGTAGGCGTGTGTCAGTCGGTGTCTCGCGACGGCCGGGCCCGCGCCCCATGGCTCACCGCGCACTGGCTTGCAGTGGAGCGTGGTGCATGGCCGCGCCCCTAGCAGCCCCCAGCCCCCGACTGACTGACGAGGTCCTCGACTGAGCTCGCCTGCACCCTGCACCCCGAGGACCAGCACGCCATGATCACGATGCCGTTCGCCAGCTCGCCGTTCCAGCGCCACCGCAGCGACGCGGACCAGCTGAGAAAGACGCCGTCCGTAAGTGCGGAGCGCGAAGCCGGGCGGGGCGGGGCGAGCCGAGCCGGCCCGTCGCACAGTGGGCCAGAAGACCGGCAGAGGCGGTCTAAACTCTAGACGCGTTTTGAGCTCCAGAGTCGCTTAACAGGACTCGAACCGAACGTGTGACCCCACCAATGGATTCCTCGTTCGGAGAGCAATCCATTGGTGGGGTCACACGTTCGGTTCGGGTCCCATTTAGCGACTCTGGAGCTCAAAACGCGTCTAGAGTTTTGGCCGCCTGCGCCGGTCTTCTGGCCCACTGTGCGTCGCCAGCCTGTCTGCCAGTGCTGGTCGGAGCGCTTGGTGTGGCTTGGAAAGCGCTTTGCTTTGCTTTGGTGAGCCGCCTGCCTGCCATTGCCATGGCCTGCCTGCCGCTGAGCGGTTCCGCACGGTGCTTCGTCGCTCTGTCTCGCTCGCACTCCTACCGGGCGTCCCGTGAGTGCGACGGGGACAGAGCCACGACGGTTCGGAACCTCTGCTGACACGGCAGTCGCTGCAGTCGGTTCGTCCGGACATCCACGGCGCGGCCTACTTGAAGAAGCCGGAAGATTTTGCCGTTTGGCTGACGAGGCTTCCTTCCCTCCGGAGAGCCGCGCGCACTCCGCGCAGGCCGGCAGGGAATCGTATAAATTAGCGAGTCAAGGAGAGCCGGTACCGGCCGCAGGCCCAGTCCCGGCGGCTGGCTTCGGGACGCCCCGGGAAGGGATCGGAACGGATCGGATCGGACATCGGCCGGCGCCGCAAAGGACGCGCGCACGGATCGCTCGAAACACTCCGTCCGTCGGCCGCCCCACTGACCAGCGGCCAGCTATTGGCCAGTGGCGTCGCCGCCCAGCGATTATGCTTGCAAATGGCGATGAGGCTGGATTTGTTGTGCTGCGCGGCCAAGAAGATCGGTTTGGCACTCTGTCTCTCTCGCACCTTTACGGGGAGCCCCGTGAGTGCGACAGAGACAGCGACGAAATGACTCCTGGATCGCTCGGCAGGAAGCGTGTCGCCAATTGGCCGATCGGCAATGCCTCGCCGTGCCGCGTTAGAAGTCCGCTTGCGATGCTAAACAAAGCCAGATTGATGGGAGCAAGGCGCACAGTGGGCCAGAAGACCGGTGGAGGCGGCCAAAATGTTAGACGCGTTTTGAGCTCCAGAGGCGCTAAACAGGACTCGAACCGAGCGTGTGACCCCACCAATGGATTCCTCGTTCGGAGAGCCATCCATTGGTGGGGTCACACGTTCAGTTCGAGTCTCATCTAGTGACTCTGGAGCTCAAAACGCGTCCGGGATTTTGACCGCCTCCACCGGTCTTCTGGCCCACTGTGAGGCCTGTTTGGTTCGGACTGCAGTGTACTGGAGTCACTGGAGTGCCCGCCCAGCCTCGGTCTGCTTGACTCCAGCGGCCGCGACGACAGGTTCCAGATTTATCGCGCTGCGTGGCGATGATGGCGTTCAGAGCCTCCGCGGCGGCCTCGCTAGAAATTTCCAGTGGCCGCGGCGGGGCGCGCTGTCGACGCCGCGACGCCGCCGTGGCCCTCGGAGGTTCGGCGTCCTTTTCGGCATCCGACTTCCGTTTCGTTGTTTTCCAAACGAATCGCCGCGAATCTGGAGGCGAATTCCACAGCGGGGTCTGCCCTGGCCAGGCCCCGGCCGCTGGCCTCCGCTTCCGGGTCCGGAAGTGGACCAAATTGGTGGCCGGTTAGTGGCGGCCAGGCGGTGACCCGCGAGACAGACGTCATTGGGTTGGCGGCCAGGGCAGGGCAGGGCAGGGCGCGGCCGCCGTGCAGGTAGGCAACGCGGACGCGCCGGTCGTGCGGGTCAGCATCGGCCAGCTCCGGGCGTTGAAGTTCCTGGCGGCTTGGCGGTCGGCCACGCGGCCATGGCGTGGCGGGGCGTGGTGCTGCAGGCCTGTCGGCGGAGAGCAGGGGGTTCCCGACGAGGGGGAGGTCGCGAAACAGAGTGGCGGTCGCCGCGGTCGCCATGTCGCCGTCAGGGCGCTGCTGGGAGGTGGCCAGCACTATGAATAGACGTATGGCACGGTGTGCACGGTGTGCATGGCGCTGGTCCGAGCCGCGGCCGCACGGCTCTGGCTTGGCCTGGCTTGGTCTGGCTCTGCTTTGGTGGTCAGCGAGTGCAGCGCTAGCATGAATGGGCTTGAGCGCCGCGCTGCGGGTTCGATTCCCGGCGTCTGCTTTCTGTTTGTTTTTTCCTCTGGGCCTGCTTCTCTCAAACACGCGTGAGGCACGCGACCCGAGCCAGCCAGTCGATGCGAAATCCAATTTCTCTCCGGATGGCCGGCCCGGCCGGCGCGAGCCAGCGCCGAGCATGGTGCCCGTGAAGGCCTTTGGACCGGATTGCTTTCGCCATCATCTGCCGACTCCCAGGTTCAAAGACTAGAAGGACGCTCTCTTTTTTTCGGTTGCAGCTCTGCTTAGTGACCTTCACTCTGTAGATTTGCCCTAATAATTGGCGACCGCCGCCTGTATGCCGTCTTCAATTTTAAAACACGTCTGTTCACGGCTCCTCTCCACTTTTAGCAGACGGCATCAACAGCTTTCTCATGACATTTTAAGGTAGCTAGCGGGCAGCCAGTCGACGTTGCCTCCTGAGCGTTTTTAGTTTCCGCGTTGCCACCCCTTCCCCATTCCCTCTGCACGGTAAACCGAATGCCTCGAAAACCGGGAGAGCGCCCCGGTTTTGGATGCGCTGTCTCACTCCCTCTCCACAAGATAGAAAAAGACAGCGCACCCAAACCGGGGCGCTCTCCCGGTTTTCGAGGCATTCGGTTTACCGTGTGCCCGTCGTGGCTGCGCTGTCGTCCTGCAGGCTGAACTGTCTCTCTCTCACGCCGGGGTGCGAGAGAGACGCCGCGACGAAACGCCGTTCGGAATCAAACTGCTGAGCGCGACCCAATCAGGACCGCCGGTCGCGAGGACGCGGGGGCGTCCTTGGCCTGCTGCTTGGCCTGCTTGGAGTTCGGCAGCGCGGCGCGCGCGGCGTGTTGTTGTGGCTCGATTAGTGCATCGGGGAGGGGGAAGGGGAGACACCAAAAGGAAGGGAAGGGAGGCGCCGCGGAAAATAGACTGCATCCTCGGCGCCGCGAGCCGCGCGTCCCGCTCCTCGCTTCGCGCGGTTTTTCTTGCTTTCTTTTTCTTTTCCTCGGCGTGCCGGCGTGTGGCGGCCTTGTTTACCCCCCCCCCCCCCGCGCGGCGGGGACACTGGCAGCGCGGACCTCGAGCGAGGGGTGCGCGGCTGTCAAGGACGCCGCCGGCCGGCGCGGACGTCGCCGAGGACGTCACCGACGGAGAGCCCCACTGGCCCCGCGACCGGAAGGAATGGAATCAAAGTGTGCCGTATCGCTGCACTGTAATCTGTGGATCTGGCCGGGCCTATCGGAATTGGCTTTGGCCAATGGGATGGGTATGGCGGCACGGCCTCGCTAATTGCCCGCCGTGTCTCACGCAGACCGCGTGGCCCGGCCTTTGATTCCTAGTCGTGTCAAACGGCACGCGCCGCACGGCCACGCAGAAATAAATACCGCGGGGCAACGCCCGCCACGCCCCGCCACGCCCCACCACGCCCCACATCGGCACGCCACGCCCCGCCACGCCACGCCATGATCCGCTTTTTGCTGCGTTTTTCGGGCCTACCCTCGGGGACGCCAGGTGCCCCAAACCGGGGCGGGGCGGGGCGGGGCGAGGCACTCGCCAAAGGACCCATTAGTGCGTGTTGCTGGTTTTGGCACCGACGCCGGGGCTGGCGGGGCCACGCCACGCGACGCCACGCGACGCCGCAGGGACTTCCCGCTCGCTGCGGCGGTAGCGACGGCAACGGCACTCGTGCGCGCCGCGACCGCGACACGGGACAGGACTCACTGGACTTGAATCTGACGGGGGCGCCTTTGTTGCAGGTGATGGAGCTGTTCACGCAGATGCGCGACCAGATCAGGGACGGCAGCCCCCACCCCGGCAGCAGCGGCTCCGTGGGGCAGCCTGGACGCTCCCTCAGCAGCGCCGCCAACCTCACCTCCCTCTGCGTGGACATCTCCCCCAGCACGTCGCACTTCTTCGAGGTGAGCCGTGTGGCCGCCGTCGCTTGACAAGCATTTTGCTAGTGTGTGCGACCGGCCGACTGGCGCCATGCTGGCGCCGCCTCGTCCTGACCTCGCCCTTTGCTCGCGCGTTGCCGCGTTGCTGCAGGTGCTGTACATCGGCAAGATCAAGGTCTCGCACCGGAAGGTCCCCGAGTCGTTCATCGACGATGCTCTGGAGAAGTTCCGGCTGCACGACCTGGAGAAGGAGAAGGAGAAAGGGCGGCTGGTGGAGAACGCCGGCAAGGCCATCCTCATGCGCAACAACTCGAGCAGCAGGATCTTGCCGCCCGGCGCCATGGCCGCCGCCGTCAACAGCGAGAGGCGGGGGTCGCAGGTAAGGGCCGCCACCGGGTAGAGCAGGGTAGACTTGACTGGGTGGACCGGAGAGAACCAGCATCTGGGTTGTGGCGAACGCGCTACGTGGACTACGCGGAGGGAGAGCCGAGGGCACTGTTGCGGCTGCTGTTCTGCTGGGCTGGGACCTGGCGGCGGACCAAGCCAGCGCCACGGCCAGCGCAGGGCCCGAGGCAGGACCGCAGGACTCTAGGGCGGGGTGGGCAGGGCACGGCAGGAAACGGGACAGCAGCTGCAGCTTCGCTGGTCTTTTCAAGAGGCGTCCCAGTTTCTCGCGTGTGGCAGGTGCCAGCCAAATGTGTCTTCCTGCTGGCTCAGGGGAAAGGGGAAAAGAATGGGGGACTCTGTCGACCCGCCGGTGCAATGCCCCTTTTCTCTCTCTCTCTTCAAGGACTCGATGTACGGCGGCAGTGACCTGGGCTCTGCGGAGAACATCAGCCACAACCCGGGCCTGGCCCCAGCCAGCTCGCTGGCCGGCAGCACCCTGGGGCCCGTGCCTTCCATCGCGCTGTCCGGCTCCGTGGAGACCCTCGCCCCCGGTGCCGCCCCCGGCTCAGTCTCGGACACCGCCCCCGCAGCGTCCGACGCCAGCGGCAACGCGCCAGAGGAGGCCAAGTCCGGCGCGCCCGAGGAGACCTGGGGAAAGCAGAAGTGAGTCTCCTCGCAGCCAGCCAGCCAGCCTCACCGGCAGCCACTGTTGGAATTTTAAAAATGGAAACCGTCCTCTTCTTTTGTCAGTTCCCTCCCTCTGGAGTCTATGCGTGCCCGTGCTGGCTCTGCCGGAAGTGCCCTGATGAAGAGGCCGGAAATGGGCAGTACTACAGTGAGTACCTGTCGGTCCACGATGGAGGTACTAGGGTCTTGAAGTGGCAAGGGTTAGTCTTCATTCTTTTTCTTTTCTCTCTCTCTGTTTTCAGACTGTCGAGCATAATCGCACCATGCTGTTCCTTGTGGGTAGAAGTGACTTGCGGCTCATTAGTCCCGACCGCAAGCAAGTGCTCCTTCATAAAAATCTGAGGGACATTGCCAGCTGCATTCAGGTGGGTCTTTTGATGTTGATTGGCCATGGATCACAATTATATTATATGTTTGTCTCAAACTCTGTTATTGTACCTTTCTTCAGGGGGTCAAAAACTCGGACCACTTTGGGTTCATCTGCCGAGAACAAAATGCAGAGAATTTCATCGGTTACGTTTTTAAATGTCAGTCAGAATCATTTGCTGATGATGTCGTTGGAGGTAAGTTTATTGTTATTGCGATTTCTGCTTCTTGCATTTATTACAACTAACTTATTTTGTTCACTGTTCTATATATTTGTCTGTGCAGCGATTACCCAGGCTTTTCAGTCCACTTCTGAGGCATACAAGAAGGAAAAGCAGCCTGTGATGTCCTGTGAACACTGCCCTATGGTCTGGTTTCACAAGCTATGTACTGAACTTGAAGGTAAATTACATGAACTTTATCAACAGTACTTCCAAGTTTTATTAAATTGTTTTGTGTATGTTATAAAATTTATTTCATTACTAGGTCTCAGTGATAGACGAGCTCAACAAGTGATATTCAGAAGATTGGAACTTCTCCCTGAAGAAGAACAGGGTATCCTCTTGACCAAATTTCAGGGATCTGAAAATTCCAGTCACACTAAGGGGTTAAGAGAGCAAAATGAATTTCTCATGATGCTAATTCGAGCTCACTGTGAAAGTAAACAGGCACGACATGTGCATGACACAGCAGAGAATAGGTAGATTATGCAATGCAAATTAACCTGTTCTCTCCTCATTCTGTTGTGTATCTAAGTCATTCACATTTCTGTTTTCCAGGAGTGAATTTTTGAATCAGTATTTAGGTGGAAGCACAATATTTATGAAAGCCAAGCGGTCTCTCACAAGCTCCTTTGATCATCTCCTAAAGAGGCGTGGTTCAAGGGATGATTTTAATCCGATGGCAAAAGAGCATAGTTTGCCAATAAATGCTTCATTGTGTAAGGTGCGTGTGAATTATAGACAGTGTAATAAATCAATTTTTTTTAAATCCAGAAATGCTGATGCTGTAAATGCTAATCAATTTGATTTTCTGCAGGAGAATGGGTCAGCAAACCGTTCATCTCCATCTGCAAATGGTGTTCCCACATTAGAACTCCCTCCAGACCATGATGAGAACTCAAGTGATCCACACAGACCTCGTTCTTCTACTATTGGATCGGGAGAAGCAATGAAAAAAGAAATGAGCCTCCCTGGTACCCTCTCCGCAGGATCATCTCAGCCACAATTGACCTCATCTCCAGTTCCTGGAAGCCCTGGATCCCCTCAACCCAAAGGCAGTCAAATGATGAACATGTAAGTGTGTGTTTGGAAACCATTACAAGTATCAAAACCTTTTGGGATGTTTGTTTGAAATTGGTGTTATGCAGATTTCTTAAAGTGGGTAACACACCAAAGGCATCCTCAATGCTCCCTGATGATACTCCTGAAGATGTAAGAAGACATTCTGGTTCCTGGCGCCAGGCAATTTTTAAGACTGTAGTCACTCCAAGCAAATCAAGTGGGTTTATATGCTGCCTATTTTATTAATGCATACTTAATACATTCTTAATGTGGACACTAATGAGGACTTTCTTAGGTGAAGGTGCTGAGGCTCAAGACATCCCAGTCAAGAAAAGCAGAGAGGAACTTCGCTCTCTATGGAAAAAAGCAATTAATCAGCAGGTCCTTCTTATTCGGATGGAAAAGGAGAATGCAAGACTTCGAGGTAAATGTCTATTTTTGGCCCTTTCAAATATTGATTTATAACTTGTCGTGACCATAACACTTGCCCATCTAGCTCGTCAAGAGGAAGCAACAGTTAAGCGCATCAAACTAGAATATGATGAAATCGGTTCCTGTATGAGGGAAGTCATGGAAGTGTGGGACTTATTAATAAGCAAAGAAAGCCGTGTCAGTGCAAGATGTGATAATCAAATGCTTCTACAAGCAATTCGCCAAGGTAAAAATTAATTACTTGTTTTAGAGAGAGTTCACATGGTCTGTTTTTTCCTTCTATTGTTTCTTCTATTTTGAAATTTATGTTTTTCCCAGGTGTACCTCGTTCTAAAAGAGGAGATGTATGGCACTTTTTAGCTGAGCAATATTGCCTTAAAATTCCTCCAATTGATACAACAAATTTCCCCAATTATAATGTTCCCTATGAAGACCTCCTCAGGCAGCTTACATCACATCAGCATGCCATTTTAATTGATCTAGGTGAGATGATGTCAATTATTGCTTCTCACATGCATCTGACTGCATCTGGCAGTGACAGTGTAAAAGAAAGAAAAGAAAAACAAGTTTGTTGTCAGTCCCTTTCTACTCCTACTTACATTATCTTCTTTTTTCGTTTATAGGACGCACTTTTCCTGGACACACTTACTTTGCATCACCCCTTGGACCTGGTCAGCTTGCTTTGTTCAATTTGCTCAAAGCCTACTCATTGCTTGATCCAGAAGTTGGATACTGTCAAGGGTTGAGTTTTGTTGCTGGAATCCTCCTTTTGCATGTAAGTTTCACAAATTTTAAAATTAAACCTTAAAATGGTCCCAATCAATTTTTTTTTTAAAGGATATTTACTTATATTCTCTGATGGTTTTTGTTTAGATGTCAGAGGATGTTGCCTTTTTCCTCCTTCGGCATCTGATGTTTAGGAGAGGTTTACGTCGTCAGTATCTTCCTGACATGGCTGCCCTACAAGTGCAGCTCTATCAGCTCTCTCGTCTCTTACATGACCAACAACCTGCTTTGTATTCACACTTGGATAAGCATGAAGTAGCTCCTACACTGTATGCTGCCCCTTGGATGCTCACACTTTTTGCTTCCCAGTTTCCTTTGGGATTTGTAGCAAGGGTTTTTGGTATGTATAAAATTATTTGCTGATTGATGTTAATAATTATTTATCTTTTCTTTAAAATTATTATTCCCCCTTCCCTTTGCCCACACAGATCTGATGTTTGTGGAAAGTCCTGAAATCATCTTCAGAGTTGCTATTGCTCTCTTATCAGAGCATAAGGATGGTATTTTAAGCTGTGATTCTTTTGAAGAAATTATGGATTATTTAAAAACAAAAGTGCCAAATATTGATAAGGTTAAGCTAGATAGGATTATGAAAAAGGTGATTCATAGTTTCTTATTTAGTCTGCTTGTTGTTCCCAAGGAGGAGAAGTATTTTAATAATGTTTTGTTTTCTTCAAGGTCTTTAACATGGATGTCACTAAACAACTTCATGAATATGAGGTGGAGTACCACGTTTTGCAGGAAGAAATGTCATCTCCTCGTCCTGAAGCGGAGAAAATTAGACAACTGAATCAAGAAAATAAGCAACTCCAGGAACAACTAGAGGTTTGTTCTCTTAACAAACCAAATGGTTTTAAATGTCTTTATATGATAACTTACTTAATCTATCTGTTTATCTTTATTTCCAGATTTCATCCAGCAACATGCACAGATTGGAAACCTCTCGTACTCTTCAACAAGCCCAACTAAACAGACTTGAATCTCAGGTTCGCAGTTTGGAAGTCAGCATAAGTACGCTTGGTGGGTTCATATCAACCTTAATTGAAAACCACAAAGACATTGAGATACCGGGAGATGTGAGGAGATTAGTGGCTCAGCTTAGTGCTCCAGGCTTAGATCGTCGTAAAAATAGTGGAAACTTAGGACTAGGAAATATTTTGAAGCCTCGTCACGACCCACCAAATACTATGAAACCTGATCCCAAACATGACTCTAAATTCACATTAAATTTGAGTAAAAATGATCCAATGGCGAGGACCAAGTCAGATCCTCCGCGTATGATCCCATCCCCACGTAGTTTTCCATTGAAAGTAATTGAGGATGATGATAGGTATGAATCAAACCTTAGACCTACACTCAGTCTTCAGAACGGATCAACCATCAACAGCATGAATTCAAAAACAGTGTCAGGGCGACCGTATCCATTAAAATCAGCCGCTAGTTCACCCAACCTAACTTCCAAAATGTCATCATTTTTCCAAAAAGTTCAAATACCACAGTCTGAGCAAAGAATGAACTCGATGAATCGGGGTCAAAATGAGCTTGACAAGTTACAAGAAGGAAGAATTTCTTCCGACCACTCTGGCTCTGATGTCAGAGGTTTTGGCCCAGGAAATGTTTTGAATAATGATTGTTTATTTGAAGACATTCCTTTGAATGATGGTAATGAGCCTTTGTCAGCTAATAATGATGTAGCTTTTAAAGAAAATCAGCAGCCCCTCAGAAGAATAGATATTGTAAAACAGCAACAGACAATTCATAAGTATGACCCTCACTCAGGTACAGATTTTCAAATCCAGGCCATAGGTTCTAGTCCAATTCAAAATTTATCTTTAGATACACAAGTCAGTAAAGGAGGTAAGCAGCACACAATAGATGCGAGCCTTCATGATTCTCGGAGTGAGTCTATAGACTCACTACAGACTCCAACCTTACATCCACTAGATACTTGCTCAGATGTCAGCTTTTCATATGGAGGTACCACCAAGCTCAAGACCATTAGGCCTCTCCGAGCCCAACTTGGCAGAAATGCCACCATTGCAGCGTTTTCACCAACATCCCTTCCTCAATCAAGCAGCTCCTCTCCCTCTTCTCCAGAAATAGAAAACCCCAATAGTGATAAAATATCGGGCATTGTTCCACCCAAAAAAGAATTAATGCTAAGCTAATATCAATTCAGTTGAAATTTTGTGGAACTTCGTGTACTGTATGTTTTGTTTTGCCATGTATGATCTTTCACACTTATTATGTACATGCTCTGTTTACTAGGTATAATCACATGGGCATGATTTTATTATATTTTCTGAAGACCACGACTTTATCATTGTGTTATTGTTACCTCAATTAAATAATTATTGTGTTATTGTTACCTCAATAAAATTATTATTGTTATTCTTCTGTGTCCATGTTATTTGGTAGTGCCCAACTAGTCTAGCGACCCTCCTAGGGGTGTCGACACATTCTAAAAGGAGACATCCTGGCTATAAGAAAAGCAAACTCACTATTTTTACATTTTTACCCTGTGAAGAGGCAAAAAGTGAAGTACAGGAAAGTAATCAAAGGAAAGCACTGTTAGAGCGGAATATAGAGTCATTTATTTTGTTGCAGTTATTTTTACCATGCAGTTTCTTAGTCACTTTGTTTCATCCAAAAATTCATGTTCCTCATTTTAATGATGTGTTTTTTTGTTGCTTTTTTTTTCATTTTATGTTTTAACTAGACCTAGGGTCCCACTATTTGTATTTCCATTTTTTTTTTCTGTCTTAATATTAATTAATTGATAAATTAACAGAAATGGCAGGATGTTGTGTTGATTTTTATAAATTAATCAATAATACTTAGCTCCATCGAGTACATCCACAATAAATTGATGAGGGGGGCGGTTAATCCCAGATCATCAGCAAAACAGCAAAATGGAGTAAAGCATTCCAAGAGACATTACTCCGAACTAAAATGACAAGGTAAATGATCACATGGGGAGACAGGGGAGTACTACCTGACATAGAGGAATCACTCATCTTTCTTCATTGGCATAATTAAAACTAATTACAGTACTACAAATAAATACAGAGAGGTTGCACTGTTTGGCTTGCAATACAGGGAGTTCCCTTGAGAACACAGGTCATACTGACATTTATGTACTATCCTAGTCGCCCTTACTTTTAAGTACTTAGATCTGCCAGGAAAGAAATAAAATTGGTGATTTTTCTCAATTGCCATTAATCACCAAAACTTTCACAAGAAAAGTTAAATTCATTTATGTGTTTATGGCATTAACATAAATTGAATTGGCTTAGGAAGTTACACATGATGATAATGACTTAAGCATGTCATTATGATATCACCGCAACTTTTTGGTTCTCCTTGAGTTGGCACAGTTAATTTACCCACCAGCAATTAGGCACGATACAGCACAGATTCATCACAACAATGTATCTAAATGAACATGATAATTGTTGAGTTGTAATGAGCCCGTCCTGGGGATTGAGAAGGAGGAAGAGAACAAATGCAGCAGATTGAGTCATAACAAATCAAACGTTTGCTCACAAATATTATATTCACATCAATTTATTGAATATGCTCTAAGAGCTTACTCCTTCCTCCGATGGACCACTTTTAGCGTCCGTCAAGTAGGTCCATGATGTGATCAAGTGCTGCTACCGGCTAGTTAAGGATTACACTATACACACGACGGGTGCCAGAAACAGGTCCTCCCACCCAGGATCTCGTTATTCCCACCTCTAAATCCATCCAGGCTCGAACCCGCCGAGTCCTGAAGCTAAGAGAACTAATGACACGAAACACACAGCAGGAGTATCACCAGACGCCCGTACACTCGCAGTAGTTACAGGGTCGCGCTATCACATCACAATCGCCACAAATCGAACCAGGACTACGAAAAGAAAAGGAAAGTTGCTGTGGCGGAGGGTTCCAGCCCGAACCCGCGGGCTGTCCGCATGAGTCCACTTCACTGGCAGGCCGCAGTGCCTAGCAGTGCCGCGACGGGGCGGCTTGGTTGTCACACCGCAAGCCGCAGGGCCGCACCCGCACCCCTCGCCGTCAAGGGGTGGCACGGCCGAAGGCCAGCTCGCACCGCTCGCACGGCCCGTCAAGACCAGGACGGCCAAGTCGCAGGCCCTTCATCGGGCTGCCCGCTGCACGTCGCCGTCGACGGCCAGGTCGACGGCCAGGTTGACGGCCAGGCTGAAGCCAAGTCGGCGTCCGGCCGCACTCGCTCAGGCGGCCGTCTCCCTGCTGGACGCGATGAGCAGTGGCGTGGTCACGGTGGCCTTGTCCAGCTTGTCCAGGGAGTGGCTGTTGTTGTTGGCCGTGGCGGTCATCTCCATGGAGCCGGAGTGGTTGTTGCCGCAGTACGACAACAGCGGCGTGGTGGCGCCTGGTGGCGCCCCCGACGAGCCGCCGCCCTGCCGCCCCCGGCTGTTGGCGCTGTTGGCGGCCGCGGACGCCGAGGCGCCCCCGTTGGCCGCGGTGGCCGCGGTCCCTCCCGCGAGGCCCGTCCCGCCCGTCCCGCCCGTCCCCGTCGGCGACGTGGCGGTCGCCGGCGCCGGGGTGGGCGTCGTGGACGAGGCCGTGGAGGAGGCGGAGGACGGCACGCTGGTCGGGGGCAGGCCGGGCGGCGAGGAGGCGCCCACAGACGCGGCCGTGGCCGTGGCCGAGAGGGACTTCTTCTCGCCCTGCAGCCAGTACGTCGTCATGCGCCCCTTGCCCTACGCACGAGGAACGAGGAAACTGAGTAAACAAGCGAACAACACGCTGCCGAAGGTAAACACTGTACACTGTACACAACACGCTGCGGGTGCTCTACCTTCATCTCCACCTCGCCGCGGCACTCCAGCTCGAAGGTCTCGAACGTGTCCAAGAGGGCCTTGGTGGCGGCGCTCACGTGGATCCGCAGCGCTGCCAAAAAGACAGAGACAGCCAACAATGAGAAAAGGAAAGAAGGGCCTATAAGGGCACGGTGCGACGGCTGTCCGGGAACGGCAAGCTCATTCCGATCGGCCTGTCTGTCTCCCTCGCACCCACAGGGTTACCTCGATGAGCGAGAAAGAGAGAGTGATAGACCTCCCACTCGGAATCAGTCTGCAGGGTCTGCCCGATATTGAGTCGTGGCGTCGTCCCACATCGCGCCCCGCCCCGCCCTCCGCCGTTGAGCGGGGAATGCAGACACATTCCGAGCGCGCGGCCGACGCGGCGCACCCACCCACCCCAAACAAAACAACCCCCTATCCCATGTAGTGCCGTAGTGCCGTCTCGGCTGCGGACTGTATTTCACCAGCACAGGACGGCCCACCGCTCACCCCGTCCCCCGCCCCCGTTCCGCCCCTCGCCGCACGGCCACACGGTTCAGCATGCAGCGTGCAGAGCGGTCCTGCATACCTCGTGAACCGCAGGCGGCGGGCGCGCGCCAGAGACCGCCGGACCAACAGATCATTTCGTACCTTCTCCGTTGCTCTCCATCCTGGACGCCGTGTTGACCGTGTCCCCGAACAGGCAGTACCGCGGCATCTTGAGCCCCACCACACCGGCGACGCAGGGACCTGCAACAAGGCCGCGCCACGCGGCCAGTGTCATTGCCCGGCGCCGCCAGACGTCACCGTGACGCCATGCTTGACGTCAGCGCGGCGCGCGGCCACAGTGGGTCGGTCGGACGGTCGATCTAGCGTCAATGCGAGTCACTATAGATCGAGCCCGTAAAGAGGCCTGGGTTCGACTCCCCATAGTGAGATGACGTTCTTCTCAGTTGACTTCTCAAGCCTAGAGCAGAAGATTCCAGTGCCATGGGCCGATGCCAATACCCACCGCTGTGCAGCCCGATGCGGAGCCGCAGCTGCAGGCCGGGCCGGTGCCGGATCTTGAAGTCCCTGACGGCGTGGAGCAGCGCCAGCGCCATGCGCGCGATCTCGCGCGCGTGCTGCAGCCCGTTGCGCATCGGCAGCCCCGACACCACCATGTACGCGTCCCCGATCGTCTCCACCTGGAAGAAAAGAACCCGTTGTAAAAGCGAACCACAAGATCAAAACACAGTTGACATCTCCGCACAGGCTGGAAAGGCCTCGCTTCGCCTCGCTTCGCCTCGCTTCGCCTCGCTTGGAGCTGGTCAATACTCCGTGTCGCATGCAGCGCTGCGGCGCGGGGTGTCGACGGCCGGGTGCAGCGTGGGCGCGCATGGATGCAGAGCACTGTCGCATTCAAGCGGCGTAGGCTGGCTGGCTGGCTGGCTTTGGGGTAGCTCAGCCGGATAAGGGCGGTTGTAGGGTAGCCGGAGGGGGAGGGGGTAGCACTGTAGCAGGTGCGGGGTGTGCGTTGACATGGACAGAGGGGATGGAGACAGAGATAGAGAGAAAAAGGAGGGGGATGGGGGTGGACTGTGGTGTGGCCGAAATACAATCCCCCTCCATTCCGCGTCGCCGCCCCCGCGCCGCCCCCGTCCCCCCGCCCCCGCGCCGCCGCCTCGCTGCCGTTGAGTCGGAGAGAAGCCTCGGCGGGCTGCAGCGCCGGAAAGAGATATCACCGTTCGCTTCCTTCATCATCCCCATCTCTTGCTACGCTTGCCACCCCGCCCCGCCATCGAGCCGTCGGCCGGCCGGCCGGCTGTCGGGCAGCCATTCATCGCCGCCCCGCAGGCTGACGCCGCTGACGCCTGGTGCCTCGCGCCGACGCCGGCAGTGGCAGCGCAAAGCCAGCAGCGCCAGCCCCATTCCGGGCCCAAGGCGCCAAAGGCCGGGCCAAGGAACGAAAGAACGGAGGAGGAATTCGGGCGAGTGAGGAGTGAGGCATCCCCACTTGGCCGCGGACCAAAGCCCCACTCTGGGGACAGCGGCACCACCAGGGCACCGCGCGCCGCGCCGCAGCGACGCAAGCCGCCCGGGCGTCGACTCCCCCGGCCCACAGTGGGCCAGAAGACCGGTGGAGGCGGCCAAAACTCTAGACGCGCTTTGAGCTCCAGAGTCGCTAAATGGGACTCGAACCGACCGTGTGACCCCACCAACGGATTGCTCTCCGTGCGAGGGATCCATTGGTGGGGTCACACGTTCGATTCGAGGCCTGTTACTGTTTGTGCGACGCTTCCCCCACGGCCCAGGGCGGCCCAGGGCCTACCTTGTAGACGTCGAAGTTCTCGATGATGGAGTCGAAGCACGTGTACAGGTCGTTGAGCAGGTCCACCACCTGCAGCGGCGTCGAGTCGGCCGACAGCGACGTGAAGCCCACAATGTCGCTGAAGTAGATCGTAACGCTGTCGTAGGTCTCGGCCATCACGGACTGCCCCGAGATGAGCTGGCTGGCCACGGACCTGCGGGCAGAGCAGCGCGTCAAGGGCAGTCGAGGACAGTCCAGGCCGGAAATGAATGGCGCACAGCGGGGCGCGGGCCCTTGCGCCCGCCTTGCGCAGGCCCTTGCGCAGGCCTTGCCGCTCGGCTCTCACTTGGGCAGCAGTTGGTACAGCAGCTCCTCGCACTTGCGCTTCTCCTCCAAGTAGTCGCTCGTCCGCTCGTCCACCAGGAACTCGAGGTTGTTGGCGTACTGCTCCATGCGCGACAGCAAGTTGTCCAGGATGTTGCCCGACTCATGGTCCCTGAAACAAGAGGAAACAAACCGCTCAGTTTCTAGTTTTTATCGTCGGGCAATCGACTGCGGGGTGTAATAATAGGGAACGCTGTCCCAGAAACTTTGATTCCTAATCCGCTGTCCCTCTCCCCGTTTCGGACAACGCACGCGCGAATGCGTTCGTGATGAAAAGTCATGTCTGTAATGCTCGCAGCGAGGCATGAATGGGTATAAATTTGACACGAGATAGCGCGCGCGCGCGAGGCGTGGCGCGGAGGGCACAATGGAGCCCTACACAATGACTGTGCAGCGACAATGCTGCCAATACACGCACGGCGATGAATGGGCGACAATCAACAGTCGCCCATTGTCATTCATCATTCATTGCCGTGCTCGTGCGACGTTAAGAATTAGTCCTAAATTAGTCGGGCAACGAGGTTAGGCGCCACTCCGCATCGGAGTGCTCCCGAACTCCCGACCGCCTCCCGCCCAGCCGCCTCGGCTTTGCTTCGGCTTTGCCTTGGCTTTGCCTCGGCCACCGAATTATTATTGCGGCCGAAAGGAAAAGAAAAACCGCATTACTGCCAACTTCGACTGCGAGGCTGGGACTCCGAGGCGCGTGGCGTGCCTCGCCCCGCACAGTGGGCCAGAAGACCGGTGGATGCGGCCAAAACTCTAGACGCGTTTTGAGCCCCAAAGTCACTAAATGGGACTCGAACTGAACGTGTGACCCCACCAATGGATTGCTCTCCAAACGAGGAATCCATTGGTGGGGTCACACGTCCGGTTCGAGGCCTGTTTAGCGACTCTGGAGCTCAAAACGCGTCTAGAGTTTTGGCCGCCACCACCGGTCTTCTGGCCCACTGTGCCTCGCCCCGCCTCGCCCCGCCCGCCCCGCCTCGCCCCGCCTCGCCATGCTGGCGTGACGCGAGGCGGCTGAAAGCGCTGAAAGCCACTCCAATAGCCGGACCCCGAGCCACCTCGAGTCTCTACAGCTCGAGTCTCTACCAGCCGCAGAGCCGCAGCCCGGGGCGGGGCGGGGCGGGGCCACCCTTGTCCTTCCGAGTGGCGCGCAGCACTGCCGCACTGGATTACGCCAAGAAAATGATTCTAATTTTCTGCCTCCTTTCCGCGACTGGTCCGACTGGACCGCGGTGGCGGTTGGCGGTGGGGTGGGGGCGGGGTAGGGCCCCGACGGCCGGGCAAGCCTCGCCTGCCTCGCCGTGCCATTCCATCCATTCCGGCTTAACTTGCCCGCCTTTCTAACCTTTTCCAATTGGGGCGGCGCGGGGCGCTGCGTCGTGGCGTCGTGGCGCCCTGGGCCCCGACCGCCTCACTCCGACCCACTCCCCGACCCACTCCCCGACCCACTCCGACCCCATCGGCCGCCTCGTGAACGCAATTTAACACGCCTCATTGCCAAGGCCAATCTAGTTTCGGACAACGAAAAAGGGGTGCCGCGATTTCCCCGTCGACTCGAGGTGGGGGCCCCGGGCCCCGGGCCCCACCGAGGGGCGGGACGGCCGTGCTCCCGCCGCCAGGGGGGCACACGCGCGGGGGAAACCGGTCTGGCTTTTCCGGGATCGAACCGCGCCAGTTTCGAGGACCGTGACGACTAAGCCTCGCGGTACTCAGCGGGGTGCGAATGGGAATGGGTCCGCTCCGCATCAGCAGGTCACGTCGCGGCTCGTCGCCGTCTCTCTCCCACCAATACCGGACGGTCCGGTCCGTGAGTGCGACGGAGACAGAGACTCCAAAGTGCAGCGCGGACGCGGCGGCCCGAGACAAACAGCGGCAAGCCCGTTTCCGGGCGACAGGGCGGCCGTCCGGTGACGGCCAGCAGCCGGCCTGCCACGGCGTGGCCAGGGAGGAGCGGGGCCGGACTGGATCGGACCGGAGGCGCGCCAAGCGGAAGATTGCCTCCCTTCCGGCCCGAATGGCAGCACGGCCAGCACGGCCAGCACGGCGGAGGCAAACCTAGGCGGGCCGCTGCCGGAAGACACCCAATTGCAATAAAAAGGCGCAATAAAAGAGGCCGTCAGCTGCCGTCATATTGCAATCCACGACCGGGGCGGCAGCCGGCAGCGCGGCGGCGCGGCCAAGCCGAGCAACAGATGTCCGCCCCGAGCTTTCCTCCCGAGCAATTAATCAGCATAAATTTACTCGTCGAGATAATTATAATTACGATCTCCTCGAGCGACCGCCAGTCGCCGCCACTGCTTCGGCCGCGGCGCCGCGGCTCAGCCCCGCGCGAACCTCCCCGACGACGCCGATAGCAAACAACAATAACAACACCACTGGCGGTTTCTCTCGATTTAACTTGCAAGTGCGATTACGCTACACCTTGGCGGCCTCAAAGCGGAGGGCGGCTCAGTTCCCAGCGGGCCGGGGATGCCCCCCCGCACAGGAACGCCCTTGCCCTCCGCCCTTGCGCGACCTTCGCCTCCGCTTTATTCGCACCCTATTTCATTATGTCCTTCTTCGACGCCTCCTTCTCCTTTGGCGCGAGAATATCCCTCTGTGCTGAGGCCGGCGTCGCGGCGCGTCGCGGCCAGAACCTCTAGCCAAGGTCGGCAGCCCCGGCAGCCCCGTCAGCACCGTCAGCGACGCATGACTGTGTCGTCCGCGGGCCCCGCCCCGCCCCGCCCCGCCCCGCCCCGCCCCGCCTCGGACGTCACACTGTCGCACAGTTTGCCGAAGCGGCCAGAGGCCACCGGACGGGGCGCGGCAGGGCAAACTGTCGTCCCAGAACAAACATTCATGAACGAGCGGGTAATCTGGCGAGGCGAGGCGAGTGTCGCGATGCATGCGCCGCCACTGCCGTCCGTCTGCCCGTCCGTCCGTCCAGCAGTGCGCCTGTCCGTGCAAGTGACCGGCCCCGCGGGACGACCACCACGACCGCCACCGAGGCGGCAGCGGCGGCAACCCCTCGTGCAGCGCGCTTTGTTTCTCCGAGTTGCCCGGCCAGCCCGGCCAGCCAGCGAAGCCGGCGCGTGCGAGCAACTTCCTGAGTAGAGTTTCGGAAGCAGTATTCAAAGTATGAGAGTGTTGACTCGGTGCCACACTCCCATGGAAGCTCCACTCGGACCAGGGCCAGGGCCAGGGCGGGCCGAGCTGCCTGTCGGCCGGCCGGCCTGGCCGCGATGCTCCGGCATGCTCCGGACTCCGGCGGAGCGGAGCGGGCGAGCACGTGCCCCATTGTTGCCAACTTGCGGGGAATTTCCCTCGACAAGGGAACGTTTGGCCTCGAAAACTACGACAATGGACAGCAGTACCAGCCCAGGGGCATTAGCAGACGGCGGCTGAAAGCTGAAAGTCAAAGTTGAGCGACGCGGCGACGCGCCGCGCGGACGGACAAAGACACTCTGCCGCCAGCGCCGCGGGCAGCACCGCCATTCCGCGGTGTTTCGTCGCTGTCTCTCTCGCACCGCTGCGGGACGCCCTGGGAGTGCGAGAGAGACGGAGTCAGTTTGGAGTCGGCCTGCAGGGCGCGGCCTGCGACTTGGAGTTGCAAACTGGACGCCAACTGGTGGCTGGGTGTGGTGGCGCGGCGTGGCGGCGACACTGCCGAGAGGGAAAATGAGACTTGTGCACTTCGGACTGATATTGGCATCGGGAAGGTAGCGGGGCCGCGCCGGGCTGGCCGTCTCATCGCCACTGGCGCTCGGTCCCCTCCTGGCCCCCTCGCGCCGCCGGTGCTGGTGCCCGCCAGTCCGCCACTTGGCGACAAAGTTGGACCATTTCGATTGGAGATCGGCTGAGCGGGCAGGAAGGCGGGGCGGGGCGGGGCGGGGCGGGCAACCCGCCGCTTGCAGGCCTGGCCTGGGCCTGCGCTGTCTGTCTGGCGCGCGGGCGGAGCGCCTGCGAGTTAGGCCGGCCTCGGACGCGCCTGCCGTCCGGGTTGCCTATGTCGCCGTTCACAGGCGCTCTGCGCTGCAGCGCGACGCCACGAGCCACGGCGCCATGGGCCGCGGCGAACGGCAGGCAAGGCAAGTTGAAGGAGAGGCAAGCCGAAAAAACGGCAAGTCGAAGGAGAGGCAATTCGACGGAGAGGCAAGTCGAAGGAAAGGCAAGTCGAAGGAGAGGCAATTCGACGGAGAGGCAAGTCGAAGGAAAGGCAAGTCGAAGAAGAGGCAAGTCGGAGAAGAGACAAGTCGAAGGAAAGGCATACTGATCAAAAAGCAAGTCGAAAAAAAAAAGGCTTGCTGATCGAAAAGCAAGCCGTGGACGAGGCAAGCCGATGGCGAGGCAAGCCGAGAGGGCCACGACGACGCAGCACAAGCATACTTTCCCGCTGGGGGCAGCAGATTAGGAACGTCACAAGAAGAGGGCCCTTGCCTTGCCTTGCCTTGCCGAGCGCCACCACCACCACCACGGCGGGCCTCGGAAGGATTTATTAATATACAAAATGAAGAGGAAAGAGAAAAAATAAAAAAAAATCGAAAAATAAAAACGTGACGCGGGATAAACGGCGCGGGCGGGGTTTATAACGCGAAAAATAATAAATAAAGTGTATGTGACACAACATTGTAGGGGCGTCGTAAAGGCTGCCCCTTGAGGCGGCGAGGGGCGGCGCGCGGTGAGAGGGTGGACATGTTGCTCCACGCACGGCGGCGTGGCGTGGCGGCGCGTGTAACCAGCGACCAGCACTAAGCCCACCGCAGCCCGTCAAAAAAGACGGCCGGGCACAGGGAAAGTTGGCAGCCTCGAAAAAAAAAGACAGCGAGAAAAAAACAATTAAAAACGCGTCATGGGTCAAGTTTGGAAAAAAAAAGAAGAAGAAAAAACCCTTTGGGCCTTGTGGCGCACAGGCTTCTGTGAAAGCCCCCGTGGGGTATTTCTGGAAAAGGGGCATCGGTCCGCCGCCAGAGTCTCTCTGACTGTTTTAACAGAAGGCGGAGGCGGAGCGGAGAGGACACACATCATTACAAATTTATGAGGCAAACAAAATCGTCGGCCCGGAGTAGGACGCTGTGGTCCGAACGAATCAAATTAAATATCGGAATGGAATTGGTAGGCCCAGCAAAC